TCTGGAGCAAGAAGAGACCCAGAATAGCAAGTTCTAAGCAGCAAAGGCAAGGCAGGGGACATCACAATCCCTGACTTGAAGTTATACTACAAAGCAACTGTAGTAAAATTGACTGTAGTAAAATTGACAAAGCAACTGTAGTAAAATGCTACTGGAATCGAAACAGAGCTAAAGATCAGTGGAATAGATGAGAAGATACAAACACAACTACAAACACACTCAACCAACTCATCTTTGATAAAGGGGCCAAACATGTTCACTGGAAGTACGACAGTCTCTTTAATAAATGGTGGTGAAAAACTGGTTCTCCACATGCCAAAAACTAAAATTAGACCCATGCCTATCAGCATATACTAAAATAAAATCTGAATGGATCAAAGATCTAAATATTAAAACAGAAACACTAAATCTATTGGAAGACAAACTGGGTAAAAACCTTGAAGACATAGGGGTAGGTAGAGAATTCATGAACAAGACTCAAACCGCACAGGAAATACTTCCCAGATTCAATGAGTGGGATCACCACTTATTAAAATGTTTCTGCACGTCAAAAAAAATTTCTAACATAGGGAAAAGTAAACCTATGAACTGGGAAAAAATCTGAGTAAAATGTCCCTCAGACAAAGGACTTCTTTCCAAAACATATAAAGAATTAAAAAAAATCTGACCCCCAATATTCAAAGCCCCAATACAAAAATGGTCATCTGAGATGAATACACAATTCTCAGATGAAGAAATACAAATAACAAATTAATACATGAAAAAATCTTCACCATCATAGGTCATTAGAGCAATGCAAATTAAAACCACACTGAGATTTCATCTCACTCCTGAAAGAATCGTCAACATCAAGAAAACCACCAACAACAAATGTTGAAGAGGCTGTGGGGAAAAAGGAACTCTCCTGTACTGTTGGTGGGAGTGTAGACTGGTGCAAACATTGTGGAGGTCAGTGTGGATATTTCTCAGAAAGCTAGGATTGAAAGCCCCATTTGACCCAGCTATACCACTTCTAGGCATATTCTCAGAAGAACTGAAAGCATGATACCACAGTGACATATTTGCACCCATGTTTATAGCAGCACAATTTGTAATAGCCAGATCTGGGAAACTACCTAAGTGTCCATCAACTGAGGAATGGATAAAAAAGTTGTGGTATTTTTATACAATGAAGTACTACTCAGCTATAAAGGATGATCACATTGAGATATAAATAAATGGATACAGCTTGAGAACATACTCATAAGTGAAATAAATCAAACTCACGAGTATAAATACCAAATAGTTACCCTAGTGTAAGAAATGATAAGAATACATAAAATTACATGGTAATCATGATTCCCATCATATTGGTTTGAAGCCATATAATGTTTTCATTCATTAATTGGAATGGTTTTAATCTGGGTTGTTCGATTTTACTGTCTGTGATAGTACGAATAGCTATTTTGAAGAAAATTTGACAGCATAATAGCTATTGCTGATTTAATATCATCTTGTTTTGAAGTCCCATCAAGTTGTTGTTCATCTGTTTCCATTGGTTTTAACATGTTATATCATATTTTAATATATGTGATAGTATAAACAAAATTTTTTATAGGCAGAGATAGTATAGAAACCATTGTTCGGTTTCTGTTAGCTGGCTCTAAATACCCTGCAATACTTTCATTCTCTTGAATGATTTCACACTGTCTTGATAAGATTGATGCTGCAGTACACAAAGTTATACTGAAATATTTCAAGAAAAGAGACACTATGGTAACAACTATTTTGTCAGGCTATCTGGTGGTGAAACACAATGATGCTTAAATTGTTCAGTTCTGACCTGTGTTGTCCTATTGATATGTCCTCTTTTATCTCAATCTCCCTTTTCTCTTTTTTTAAAAATTAATTTCTTATTATTTTAAAGGGAAAACTAAATTAAAAATAGCATGATACATTATAGTAACTTTTTTGTTTTCTTATTAACTGTTTTGAACACCCGTATGGTTCTCCACATCTTGTCCTGACTGATTTTACTACATTCTGTTTTGTTTAATAGCATCAAGTTTGAGGGTATAGGCAACCACTTTGAAGGCAACAAGATATTCTATGATGCTCATTATGGTTTGACTATTATCTTCTTTGGAAGTCCCATAAGGTCTCCAATGTGGGTTTTATTGGCCCTGTTCTGTACTGTTTTGTTCAAATCTATTATACCAGATGATAAAGGCAACTCTTTTTAAGATAGCAAGAGGCACAATGGTAACCATTTTTGATCACCTGGCACTCTCTTTTTGCATTATGTACTCTGTCCATCCTCCTGTTCTAACTGACTCTGGTTTGCTTTGTCATGTTGGGTTTTTTGTTTTGTTTTGTTTCATTTGTTATGTTTTTATTTTTGTTTTTTTTCCCCTTCAAAGAAAAAGTTATAAGAACTGTGGGAATAATAAAACTCCAATGTGTAATTGTTATTATAAAAAAGAGGAAAAGAAAAGAAAGTGATCTAAAGGATATAACTGTATGTATATTTAAGTGTATAGAATAGAAAACCATATGACTGAGTTTTTGTTGGATTATTGAACAGAACTGTCTACAACTTCACTGTCCACTTTGTATGCTTTAATTTTGTAATCCGGACAACTGTTGAGATGGCAATATATAATGTAGTAACTAGTGATTTCTTACTGTATTTTTTTCTTGAAATTCTGTATTACTTGTACCCTCTTATTGTTTTGTTTTGTTTTGTTTTGTTTTGTTTTTCTTTTTTAATAAAAAAAAAAAAACAGAATCACCACATTTGGCCAACAAATGCAGAAAACGCTGAGCCTCCAAAACTGATTCATGCAGGCACACATCCCTGAGATGTGTTGAATCTCCATCTGATGGCAGGTTTTAAGGCAGGTGCTGAATAGCACTGGGGAGAATATGGGGGAAGAGCAGAGCCCTGTCTGGCAGCTCACATCAGAGCACTACACACATTTGTCACTGGACCTGGCAGGGTTAACAATGGACATTTATTCCTTACAGAGAGCTGCACAACTTTGCAAGATTTCCTTGAAAGTGTTTGATTCACAGCTATTTGAAGCAGGAAGGAACTGGGACCATCACTCTCTTCCACGTAAAGGGTATGTGGTACCAGTGTGGGTCATAGGAAGCAGGGAAAGCTGCAGGGATGCTGAGATTGGTCTCCCTGGGTCCACAGGGAAAGAAGCCAAGGAATTTGATCATGAAATAATACATGGATGTGAGAACAAGTATCTCAGTATTGAAGGGGAAATGTCTCTGACATCAATGTGCATCCACACATAGACCTGTAAGAATCTGTGTGTAAGAATGGTGTCTGCATAGTATAAAACTGCATAGTTTCCTTTTTTTTTGTTTGTTTTTTTGGTCTTTTTGAGACGTGGTCTTGCTATGCAGTTTAGGCTGGACTTGACATTTTAGCCCAGGCTGGTTTCAAACTTGCAAGGATTCTCCCACCTTAGCCTCCTGAGTGTTGGGATTACAGGTGTGAGCCACCATGCTCAGCTCAAAAACTTCATAGTTTCATACTATGCAGTTTTACAGTATATAAATTTATATGAAGTATGCAATAGTGTATAAAGCATACTATATAGTTTCATAGTATACAAACTGCATAGTATGAAAACTTTATTCATAAAAGTGTTTTCATATTTTCTTTATTAGTATCTACTTATGGTAAATTAAAATAAGAAAAGAGAAAAAAGGGGTTGTTTATTTCTGAGACAAGGTCCCAATACATACTGCGTCCTGATCTTGAACTCAGCAAGGATTTCAGGCTAGCCTGGCATTCACTGTGATCCTCCTGTCTAACCCTCCAAAGTGCTGGTATTATGGGCATGCACCACCATGCCAGCAAGAAAATATTTTTTATTTCATTTTTTATTTTAAAGAGAAAAAAATGAAATGAAACAAAACAGAATAGAGTCAATCAAAACAAAAACATGAACATGGTACATGACTTAAAAAGAAAGTCCATCAGTAGTTTGTGTGGCCTGTCTCTCAGCCTGCACAGAAAATGTCTCAACCTCTTGCTGAACACCAAATTTGCCAAGAAATTTGGGCAAATACCTAGATTTTAAAAGATGTAAACGTGTCTTGTTTAGGCACCAATTCATATCAAGTGGCAGGAAAAGAGCAGAGAACTTTGACTTAGTATTTCCAAATTCTGGAATTTATCCCAAGGAAAAATGATATATGTTAAATTAAAGTTTTCTAAGAGGAACTAGACTTGTATACATGGTCAGTAACAGGATAACTAAGTACAACTCTACCTACGCATATAATATAAATATTCAACACTATGCAAATATATAAATGATGTGAGTAGAACTGGAGAGTAATGGTCAGAGACAGCAGAATAGGAACAAGAAGGATATTCTGCAGCAGGGTTCAACAATGTGGGTGCATTATTTTTGTGGACTTAAATTGTGGAATCACCCTTCCTCATGCCTCAAAGCCCCATGCCGCATTCAGACTCCTCAGAAAATCTAAACACCCCTCACAAAACCTAAACACCCAAGTAGCGCCAATATTAAAAGAAGCAGAAAGCCCCTTATCAATGAAACGGACTGGAGCCACAGCACATGCAGGTAGAATAATAACTGCTATCTTACTGTAACATCTCAGTCCTCTCTTGGTTCCTGCAGGGAGGAGCTCCTAGTCGAATGAAATCGTCATTTTGGGGGGTAAATATCCGTGGCTCAGCATGGCCAGGCTCACTGACAGCAGAGGCCATGTGAGACCCCAAGCCGCCTCCTGCAGGTCCCACACCAGGGCTGGGCTTCCAATAGCCTGGCTGTGCCGAACCCCGACGGGAGAGGAGGGAGGAAGGGAGAGAGGGGCCCTGTCGGCGGAGGCCGGGTCGCCCCCAGCGCCGTGCCCGCCACCGCCCTGGCCCGTGACCCCGCCATAAGGACTCCCTGCCCGGGCACCTGCGCCCACTAACGTAGGGGCCGCCAGGCCGTGCCACTGCTCGCTGCCGGCTCCCTCCAGCCTACCTGGCCCAGACCCCAGCTCAGGCCCCGACGCAGCCTACGCCGCTGAAGGAAGAGAGCACTGGTCTTCAGACAGCATCTCTAGCGGCAAAATGGCGACTCCAAGCACAAGACCGGGCGAGGCCGGGGGCCGGCAGGTCTGAGCTGGGATGTGGAGGCTCATGCTCAGGCCGTCCGTGGGCGTGGCCCGCCGGGTGTGGGGCGGGGCAGCAGAATCTTTGGTCCTGGAAGGGGGTGGGGCGAAGGGTGTGAGGGAAGGGTAAGGGGCAGGGCTAGAAGTTGGGACAAAGCAGGTGCTAAGCCTGCCAGTGGGGCAAGAATGAGGCAGTGGGCGTGGCAATTGGGGTTAGGGTCCCGCTGAAGAGGGCACACCCTCTTCAGCGGTGGAGGTCTCTGATGAAGCTTCTGGGAGACTCGAGCCCCAGGCCCACTATGACAGGAAGCAGAGGAGTGGCCTGTGTCCCAGACATAGAATTTTTTGGTGTCTGGACTCAAATCTTGTAGCTCTGAAACCTTGGGCCCACTGCTTCTCTTCTTGGAGCCTCAATTTCCACTACTGTCATTCTCCTATTACTTTGTTTTGAAATATTGTGGATTTTTTTCCATTCAAAAAAAAACCCACATGATGAATGGCAATACTCCTCTCTTGGCACTGCTGTGAAGATCCAATGAAAGCCCTGCAGAGCTCTTCCCATGGTTCCTAGCATATAGCAAGAGCTCAGATGCCATTGTTATTTGCGTTGTTGCCCTTCTTTTATTACAGAGAAATGAGTCCTTCTGGAATCCATTGTCTGATATTTTCATATCTTAAAAGTATGTTTACATGTTAATATAACGTACTAACAAACTTCGTTCACACTTAACGGTGTCAGGCCAGGGCCTCTTTGAGGCGCTTTACATATGTTAATTCTTACAAGAGTGTGAGATAGGAATTATCTTCATTTTCACTACTGTGTGAGCTTAGACACCAAAAATAAATACCTTTTCCAATGACAAAGCAGTAGACAGAGTTTTAACCCAGCGGGCCTTACACCAACATCTCTGTTATCTAACCCATACTTAACACAGCACCGCTGCAGTTCTGCTTTGGATTTTTCACATGAGTGAGGCATAAAACTGTTCATGGGAGGTTGCACAGCTAGGTAGAGGCAGTGTTTGTCAGGGTTCACTATAGGATCAGATTCAATTTCTCTCTCTCTCTCTCTCTCTCTCTCTCTCTCTCTCTCTCTCTCTGTGTGTGTGTGTGTGTGTGATAGAAAGGATTTGCAAATTAGGCTTAGGATGGCCATCTGCAGAGTCAGGTGGAGAACAGCGCAAAAGGGTCAGGTGCTCCTTGGAGATGCAAAAACTCCAATCACAAGTCTGAGGCCTGGAGCTCACTGCAAAGTCCCTGGAGAGTCTCTGGCAGGGAGCCAAGAATCTGTGCTAGGTGCCTGGAAATGGACGCCTAAGTTAATGGCAAGGATTCGAACTCTTCTGAAGGGGCAGAAGCCAGACTTTCTCCTTTCCCTTTATACTGCATCCAGGATGCAGGCCTATTGGTTGCCCACCACACACAGGGAAGGTCTTCCATCTTCAGTGAGTCAGTAATCTACACACAAACACAAAATTGTGCTGAAACGATCAGCTAGGTGTTCTTTGTTTGTTGGTTTTTGGTTTTGTGAGACAGGCTTTTGCTATGGAGTTCATGCTGTCCTTGAACTCACTGTGTTGCCCAAGCTAGTCTCAAACTCAAAGATTTTATTGCTTCAGCCTCCCAAGTGCTGAGATTACAGGTATGCACCCCTACACCAAGTTTCTCCTTCATTTGAATGCATTTATTCCATCATTTTGCCATTTTCTTTGAAACAGTTCTGGAAGTCCTCTTATGAGTATCTTTAGTTGTGCTGTTGTGGCTGCCTCAATGTATTGAATTAATTCAAAATATTCATCTTTCATGGTCATTTTGATTTTCAGAAGAGTCACAGGGGTCCAGATCTGGTGAATCAGGTGGAAGAGGACACACAATAATGTATTTATGAGCCTTCCTTTCCATTGGATGGCACTCGACAGCAGCACTAACTATAATGTTTATTCCAATATCTAAAGACGCTCACAAAAGAAGACTTCCAAACTGCTTCAGAAATTGCAAGAACAAATGGAGAAGTGTTTTTGAAGTGAGGATGTGTATTTTATTTACAAGAACAAATGGAGAAGTGTTTTTGAAGTGAGGATGTATATTTTATTTAATTTATTTGTTTAAATAGGTGCTTTTTAAGAAGGATTAATTGCCACATATCACTATTGTAGTACATCTAAAAAATTTAAGTATTAGCTGTATATTTTGATCACCTCTTGTACTTCTTCCTTGAGGATTTAATTAAACATCTACAAATTCAGTGTCCCTTATACAACATGATTGTGACCAGAAGTGTTTGGAATTTCTATATTTTTTATTTGTTGGAAAATCTGCATATATATAATAAGTTATACTGAGGATGGCACACAAGTTTAAATATGAAATTTATTTATGGTTCACATATACTTCATACTCATAACCTGAAGATCATTTTATACAACATTTTTAATAATTTTGTGCTTGACATGTGTATTGTGTTGTTTCTCTGGTGTGGGAAAGTGAAAATGTAGATAAGCACTAAAATAATACAGATATTGTGAACATTTTCTAATGAAATGAGGAATTAGGCATGTAGGAGGGAGAAAAGAAGAAAGAGAAAAGAAACAAATTATGAGAAAAGAAGCAAACAAAGCTTTCATAAACAAGGAAGGGAAGGGTATTGAAGCAAAGTTGGGGGAATGGAGAATAAAACATTCAAGATTTTAATGTATGGTACAAATTTCCCATGGCTTACACGATCATTATTTACACCTAGATTATACCAATAATCTTAGTGAAAAAATATTTTTTGTTTGAAACAAAATTTCTTGTTCTGGAATTTTTCACTTTTGGCACTGTATCAGTACTCAAAAGTTCTATACTTTGAAGAATTTCAGACTTCAGGATTCAGATTAGGAATGTTCAGCCGACATTTGGGTAGTGATTGGATAAATATCCCTTCACCTCAATAGACTGTAGGCTTCATGATGAGAGTATGACAGCAAGCTCTTTATCATGGTTAACCTCAGTACCCCTCAAGCCTCATGCCTTCATGGATGCGACCATATCTATGTTTACTTATTGGTTGTTTTCTAGCACTCAGATTGATGGTATGAGTACTACATCTGCCAAGGGTGGAGCCAGCATACAGTGTACCTGAGGAAAGAAGGCTTGTGTTTCTCTTTTGCTGTTCATGCCTGATGTTTGTAGCCACCACAAACTACTGCCCTTCAGCCATGTCATTTAACCTTGGAGCCAACTGAGTATGGACTGAAGCCTCCAACAAGTAAGAAATAAACTTTTCCTTCTTTCATGTTGGGAATCAGTATATTTTGTCTCAACAACCAGTGAAAAGTAATTAAGACAACTTGTAATTACTGTTTCTCAGTACCCAACTCAATGCCTGACAAAAGAATAGTGTGGTTTTGTAGACAGAAAGAAAGTAAGCAATAGCTCACAATTTTAGATTTGTATCACACAGAATTTCATTACTTCCAAGGTTCTGCAGGGAAATGAGGTCTCATCAGTTTTCCTTTCTGCTGGCACTAAGCTTGTCATTTCTTTTGCTTTATTATAGCAAATAATGCTCCTTTATCCAGTTTTCATTTACCCTATGGTCTTAGAAATCAATTGTAAGCCGTTATACAATCTTATGCTGGGCATGTAACTCAGGACCTCCTTCATGCTAGGCAAGTCCTCTACCTCAAGATACATTCCAGCCCTCCCTTTTTTATTCCTGGAGTTTAGGCCATGGAAATGTGCTATTGTGGATGTCCAGCCCAAATGACTCACCAGGGAACTGCAGTTTTAGCTGCAAGCTGACTGAAGTTTCATGACAGTCTACTGTAATCAAGAACTACCCAACTGAGCATAGACAAACCAAAAAATTGAGTAAGAATTATAAAATTTTGCAATAAGGCACTGAGTTTGGGAATGCTTTGTTATACAGCAATGGCTAATGAGCAAGAAAGGAGCAAGAGAGGCACTATTCACAATAACCAAGGCAAGCAATCAGTCTACATATCTGTCAGCTGGTCAACGGGCAAAGTAAATATGGCATGCACATGTGCACACATGCACACACACATCCTACTCAACCATAAAGAAGAATAAAATCTGGTTATATGCAGAAAATGCATGGAAATGGAGGATGTATGTTAAACAAAATAATTCAAATACAGAAAAATATTGCATGTTTTCTCTCATATGTGGAAAAGAAGAGGGGTGGATATGAAAATATGAAAATGCATATGAAAATACAATGAATCTCCTTACTCTGTACAACTAGTATGTGTCAAAAATTATAGTTTTTAAAACAGAAAGGAGATGGAATAAAATTTAAAGCATGTGGGCAGTTACATGCTAATGCAGACATTGCTGAATTGCTTGCTAATCCCTTGTCTCTTTGGTAGTTTTCATGTGAGAGGAGTTCCTAGATTGCTGGGAAAACATCACTGGCCATATTCAAGGCTCACACTCTTGCATGTGGAACATGAATCAAGAGGCCCAAGGCTAAGAATCTTGCTATCATTTGATAGAAGTTTTTATTTTTCCAAGCAATGTACAATAGCAGAATGATTTCCTGCCTTCAGATGGCAAGGAGGTGGCTATCAGACACCAGGAACAGGGACTGCATGCTGACTCTCCTACTGCAGAAATGACCTTGAACAGATCCTGTTGCTTTTCCACAGTTAGTTTTCTTCCTGCAAAATGATCACTTAAGTTAGCAGCTGTAGAAACTGGAGGTGAGAAATAGCATTTTGATTTAGTTCATGAGTCAGAGGTGGCCAGAGAAAAGTCTTTTGCAAGTGCTTCTTCACCCTTACATCTGTGGCCATCAAGGATGAAGAACAAGGCTGTCATGTTTCCCTAAGGAAAAGAAGAGGACAATGGCTTGTCCTGCAGTGGGAAGCAGCAGAGGCCTAAATCAGGTCACCTCACATGGACGTTTTGCAAGTTTCATCATTGAATACTTTCCCCATCCTCTAGTTTTTGTTTCTCTTTTTCTACCTAAATTAAT